CACACTTTTTTCAGCGATTTTTCAGAGATAGTAAACGTTTGATTTCTTGACTAGCTTTATACATAATAGATAGTAAAAATGTTGAAGTTTGCATGACTATTTTTATTTTTGCAATATTTTGATTAGTTTAGCTGCTACAACATTTCTACAAAATGTGGGATTTACGAAAAAATTTACGAAATGTCCCGATTTAACCCGCCTGTCCCTCTTTACCCCATTTGACAGTATGATACTTTCCTCAAATTTGTCATTTGCATATTTAATTAGAAGAGTTCTACTACAATGCACCAAAAACTGGAGTTATTTTATCAAAAAATAAAAAATTGGAGGGGGTTCTATGACAGACAGGTTTTAAGTAATAGCTCTTTTTGGTGGGCCACATTTTTCATTTTTAACCTATTAGATAGGCATAATTTTTTTATCATTCTATTGTGTTACGTAACCTCAGTATTAGTCCTTTAATACCCATTGACAAACCATTGTCAAATGGTTTTTGAGTTTTGGGGGTTTTTGTTAAAAAAACTAAAAGTGGTCTAAGTTATCATGGGAGTCTAAGTACCCCCTTTTACAGTATGTAAATTACTTGTGATAATAAAATCAATAGTTGCTTTGTTAGCCAATGGTCTTTAATTATTCCCTGGGAATAAGAATTTAGATTATTATTACCTCTCCTGTCAATGATTGTTCAACTTTTCAAATTAAAAATCAAATTAGGTTATAAAATTAGTTTTACTTGAAAAGCTACACAATTGAGTGTACCGTCAACCGGGGCTACTCGGGACTGGCGGGGCTACTTGGGACAGTCCTTCGACACGGCGTAAAACTGTTATAGTAGCAAAACTAATTGGAATATTGCAAAACTAAATATAGAGGTGTAAACGTCAACATTTTTCCTATCTATATTGTTGAATTCCTGGTTCTCAAATGCAATTCTTTTGTGTATTTCGTACGCCTGATGCATGCGTATCACTGACATTTTACTTTAGTTCGGTTTTAAAGACATCTAGACTTTCAGTTACGGTGTTGGCTCTAGACTGTAAAGAAGGAAATGTTTGGTACGTGTGTTTTAATTTTGAAGATTCGTGTAACGTGTATATTTGACTTTTATCGTGTTATATGTTCGAAATAAATGATTTTACTTCTCGATTATACCTTTATGTGCAATACTAATTTTATGTAACAATTTTTACCTTTGTATATTGTTTGTTTACAGAAACCGATTTATATCGAGGAAGAAACAATCTAAAGATCAAATAGAGCTTTAAAATGTTCAAAGCAAACAGCCTAAAACTCCGAGCTCTAATTAGATTGTTTTCGTTCCTCAAACGAAAATGATTACATTTACCTCGCTCGGCAAAAAAAATTTCACTTACCCAAAAATTAGTGCATCAACGGTCATCACAAAATTGTACATAGAATGCTATACCTATATATAATTATGCACCGGGCATCATAGAATGAAAAGTAATTGACCTAAACTATGATTTTTTTCTCCAAAATATATGATGGTTGTCACTAAAACATTCCTTTCTGTTTCAGGCATGTTTTTCACGATCTTTTTTTATAGTAAATTCACTCGACCCAATTAAAATGGCGCATAAACGAGCGCATGGTGCATAAACGAGCACTATTGTGCTTGCCATGTCCGTCTGTCTGTCTGTCCGTCCGTCTGTCCGTTGGTCTGTGACCTCAAGTTTTCGTCAATGAAAAAATGCGCTCTCTGTCACTCACTGCAGTGAGTACTGAGTTATATTTTTTAAAGTAAATTCACTCATCCCAATTAAGATGGTGTGAAATTACAAGCCGTCCTGTGAGCTTACAGATATAGAAAAAATGCTATAAGGCTGCTGATATGAAGCTTGCAGTGGATAAGGTTGTTGTAAATGCTCTCAATGGCATGTTCATGGATATGGTAATATCACATCAATAATATGGTACCTTCAACTGGGGTGACTTCAGCCACATTTTTGATTTTGTTTTGCAAACAAAAGCAGGGTCAAAACCGATGGCCCCTCACTCTGGCGTTTATGACCTTGTTTATGACCCCGGCGTTTATGACCCCGTTTTTGTTTGCAAAACAAAATCAAAAACGCAGCTGAAGTCACCCCCAGTTGAGGGTAATTAATGTTTATGGTAATATCATCAATAAAGGAAAAACAAGTAAAAATCACAGAAAATGTCATTTATTCTACCTCTACATCATCTACAATGAAAGAGGACTTCAGAGTACGGTTAGTAATGTATGAGTACACTCTGCATGCTTCAAATATTTTAAAATGAAGTTTTATTGCAAGTGTCCTGAGTAGCCCCATTCGACGGGGCTACTCTGGACACTCTTTTTTTTTGCTTCTGGCACCTTACGAATATGGAATTTTATGGAATTTTTTTGACAATGCCATTTGATAGCCCTCGCAAAGAGCTATAAAATGAGCCTAAACTTGTTTATGAAATGTTTCATTGTAAGAAGTTATTAACAGTTATTAACAAAAAAAAACACTCAAAACTGTCCCGAGTAGCCCCGGTTGACAGTAATCACAATGTGAAAATGAAAATGTATTTTCCAAGTGCTAGATTAAATGATAATGTATTTATGTCAGTGCGCAAAGTCAACATGCTCAATGCATGCATGCTTGCAAATGCTATATGTATGTCCTACAAATTGTGAACATAGATACAAGTGCCTGTTTATATAACTTAGATATGAAATACAAAAATAGGCTCCTATTTTCTGATATGAAATTTACCTTTTCATGAATTTATTAATATTATTAATCGATGCCAGATTTTGACTAAAATTTTAACTCATGAGTTTTGTGGGCTAAGAAACTGATATTTATGCATCATTTATAATCAATCTCAGAGTGCCACCCATATGGGCTAATAGAGGAAAATGAAAATTGATGTGGGTTACATAGCACAAGAACCATATTACCAGTTTGACTGAAAATAAATTAATAAAACGGCAAAATTGAGTATATAAAGCTTTGACCTGTCAAAGTGGCAAGATGTCGGAGCTGCAATGCTGAAGAGGTTTTATTTGCATTGAGGGTAAATGGGACCTTGAACTTTTTCTCTGTCTTATAGTTGGCATTCTATAAATACCCATATACTATATATAGTATCTGTTTTTTACTTCGGTAATTTGAAGTTTGATTATAATTCAGAATTGGCAAACACTAGCTGTCTGACCACAGCTTTGAGTAACTTTTGGCACTAAGACTACAAATTTGACAAAAATGTTAGACCGCTTTCGAAGTATTTTGTGAATGCAAGACCAAAGTGCAGTAATCTAGATATTGCCAAAATAAATAACATATAAGCTATTAAATTAGAAATGTTCTCAGAGTACCTATATTATTTTGCAGCCACAAGACTGTAAAGTACCTAGGACAAAACATAGAATTAGGATGATCATGACTAATGGTGGCCATTATTACACTTCTCTAAATATTGCAATTTATGATGAATAAGGCTAATGGGGAATATATAATCAATAACTATTTGGAATGAATGGTTGCCAAGTTATTTTTAATGCATAAAATCTATTGATTTACTATATTTCTTCTACTTACAGTTTGAATCATGGGGTACACAAACTACGTAAAAGCCTATGTCACCTATGGCTTTTATTTGTATGCAGCACTGATAGTTGCTATTGGTGAGTAAATGAAGTTTTCACAATTGTTTCTGATCAAATTGTTATATATTGCAGCTCTGATGTTACCAGCTTTATTTTCCTGCACATCAATACTGACAAATTCATTGTGAGGAAATAGTAAGATCAATAATTTTTTCTAATTATTTTATTTTTCATAAAAAATTCTAGGATAAACAGGTAGCTAATGTGACAATAACTTGTATGTATAAGTTTTTAATTATTACTAAGGCAGTTGTCAAATGTGTCTCAATGATGGCCAAAAAAGTACCTATGTAGTATTAAAATAGTGGGGGCATTGAATTTGAAAAACTTTTTCCAAAACTAAATGATTTTACAGTCATGGCCAAAATCTAGAGGTTAGTCAAAATATTTAATAATATCCAATTATAATATTCACTAAGTATATCTCAATAACAAGTTTCTCCATGTTTGATTGGTGTTCCTATGTGAGTTATTTGTCCTCATAATAACATTTCTGTTATCTTTTGTAATCTGGTCTCTTTTTCCACAGCTATTGGTTACACCATAACTGACCAAGGAGAGCGTATTGACATAGGATGGTTCCTCGAAGGAATATCTCCATACATGTGGGCCTCCGTGGGCATTGGTCTGGTGGTTTCACTCTCTGTAGTAGGAGCTGCTGTGTAAGTATTATGAATCATATGAATTTAGTGTAACTATACTTTTGATAAACATAGTTTTTGCCTTTTTGAAAAATAAATTGTTAGCTAATTTGAATTACTGTGATTAGCTAAGCCTGTGATTAGATGCTTTACCTGCAATTTGTTTAAATTTTTTTTTTGTACATTAAAGATTTTTCTACCATTTCTTTCCAAATCCCTTCTTTTGGGGCAGCTGTAAAAGTTCTTCCTTTTTTATGGCTAACTTTGATTACATGTTGAAGTTGATGCTGAATTTTAATATCATCTGTTGATTTATTTTTAGCATTAATTTCTTTGTCAGAATGGCTGATACCATCCTTAGGGATTACCAATATTTTCATCACTTATGGTGACTGTAATCCTTTTGCAGTGGCATCCACACAACAGGAGTGAGCATCATAGGAGGCGGTGTTCGAGCTCCTCGCATCAAGACCAAGAACTTGGTCTCTGTCATCTTCTGTGAGGCTGTGGCTATCTACGGTCTTATCATTGCTATTATCCTGGCTGGAGTTCTTGGCGTGAGTCACCTGACTATTATTTATACACGACTTCACTTGTCTTTTACTAAGATGTTGAAATTTGAGTACTCAAAATACATTGGTATTATGCATTAATTTTTTTCTTTTTGAAAGTGCTTCAATGGAAAGCAAAGACCCCATCATGACCCAAATTCAAACACCGCGATTAGAAATACAAAAAAAAAATCATTTACAAACATTTGTTTTGTCACTGGTTTGAGCTTCACGAAGTTCTTCAACCACCGTACAAGAACCAGTTCAATTCGCCTTATTCATTTCAACTATATCTTTTCTTTATATCCTAATCTGAGTAATTATAATTGGTCTAACCCCCGTCTCATGTCTCACTAGGAATACCCTGCTGTAGTGGACCAGGCTACCTATGAGACGTTCAAGAACAACCTGTTCTCATCTTACCTGATGTTCGGGTGCGGCATCACTGTGGGTTTGACTAACCTCTTCTGCGGCCTATCCGTGGGCATGGTGGGCAGCTCTGCCGCCCTGGCCGATGCTGCTGACCCCTCACTCTTTGTCAGGATCCTCATTGTCGAAATTTTCGGCAGTGCCATCGGTCTTTTTGGCCTCATCGTTGGCGTACTTCAGGTAAGTTTTTTGTAACAATTGATTTTTTTCCGCCTCACGATCTGGCTTGTCTCTTGAGTATTTTAGATATTTATAATTATTCTTTATTTGCATAGAATACCAGAAGAATTAAACGTCAAAAGAGGTGCTAAAGGTTACAAGTTATTGTGGATAAGCTAATGATCTTCACAGGAAAAAAAACTATTAAAAATTTGTAATAAACAACTTGTCTTATTCTTTAATAATACCTAATCGCAACAGAAAACAGCCGGTCACTAAAATAAGAGAATCCAATTGAACCAATGTAAACTGATAGCAGTGTTACGTACACTATTAAGTTTTTTTTTACATAGAGAATATCTATATTAATCCCACTGTATATAGATGTCTATATACAGTACGTACTCAATATATAATTCCCCATTTATAACTTCATGGTTATGGATTCTCCATGGTAATATATCTCGTTTTTAAATTGAAGATGGTTAATGATTATTATTACTGACCAAGATTCCGAGAAGAACTGCAGGAGCGGTATGCAATGCATTTATATCTAAGTATCTTCATCTTAATTACTTTTCTCTTGAGAGGATGAATCTGGTCTGGTGGCGTTATCGAATATGGCCAAGACTGAATACTAGATCTTATATTTGCTCAGTACATCGTTGCTTCTTATTTTTTATCAGTTATTCGCGGAAAAGTATTTTGTTTCTTTTCAGGATGCAACTTAATTATGACCTCTAAAATTGAGTTCATAGTCTGACAATGAGTCTGGTTTTTGGTGATTTGGAGGCTAATCTTCCATTGTTATAATTGCTATTTTGGTTAAACAAGTGTTATTTGTAAATCCCATATTTACATTGAAAGCATACCCTAATAAATCTGTTCTTTTGTGATCAAGCCTGATTCATTATATTGATGCAATATTCTATGGGACTGAGAGGTAACTGCGTTTTTGTTAGTCAAATTATAAACCATATACATTTGTTGCAGGTGTCCAAAGCCAAGATGGGCGACTCCTCGTAAGAAGCGACACTATCGATGCGGCGAGCAGCCACAAAACTCGTGCATAACATCGTGTTTTAAAGTAACGAATCATGATACATTTGAGAATAGCTACATGCAGTAGCAAAGCATCAGTCATGCTCAGTGCACGGTATTAAGGTAACTATCCTCCTCTAATCGTACTTTTTTTTTGCTCTGTGACTGGTTGCCAATTTTAGCGTCAGTGGAGCTCGGAATTTCTTGCGATGTGCTCGCACACTAAAGCGCATCACCAGTCGAAATTAACTCTCCAATTCCAATCTTTGGTCATTGTTGCTGCTGCGTTTGGCGGCTCTTGAAGCTTGCACAAGTATAAAGACATTCCGCAATTGTGTAGCCCTTAATATTTGTTAGCTATCACTGTAGTGAATATTTAAATCAGTGTTGGGAAGTTGCGCCCATCGCGTCTAACGCTGCATCAGCCCTTAATCGGGCAGAGTCAAGCAAATTCAGAAAAGCAGTTTATTGAAGTGCCCAATCGCGGTTGATGTAGTTAATTCCAAGATGATTGTATTGATATATTTAACTTATTGAATATTATTGCCCGAATGGAAGTGACGCCTTTCAGGCTAGAAAGATCCCTTATAACTTAGCTCCTAGTTGTTCTTCCTTGGTGATATCTCGTCATTTACTCGTGTACATGCCTATGGTTAGCTTAGTTCGGTGAATTGTATGATCATTTATTTATCCCGTATGAGTTGTGTATATTAAATTAGTCTCGATGAATATTGACTTTTAAATGTTTAACCTATACAATATGTAAATGATTGACGTCTTAGAAAGATTGCAAGGCAGTCAAGATTTCTCACGAATCAAGAGTTTAGAGGTTAAACGGAAACAAACGTACTGGGAACATTGTTCAGCAATGACGAACAAAACAATTTAAGAGTATGATTGTGATCTCTTGAACGCTACCAATAATTATCGAAAACATCTTCTCGTAGAACATAGAACCGATAATCAAATTTCGTGCGACTTAGTTCTGCTGATGACTGCTTCAGAAAAAGTTTTGCATGATTTTACATGGAGAAAATTCTTAATGCATGTGAAGGTTTATAATTAAAAATTTGTCATTATCAAGGCGACTTGTCATGAGTTTCTCTCGGGAGCATTGAGGAGTATTCCAACAGCGCGTGACCACGAATAAACGGATACATGATCGTTTGCAAATGGCGATGAGCACCACGTACGTTTCTTTTCAACGAATACAAATAAGAGGCTTCAATAGCTACCCACGTGATACGTCTAACCTCAAGGCGTAGCGCATTTCATAGTGATGTCGGCGCTGAAGTGACCTGTCGTGGATTCATGACCTTTAGTTACGTGACTTATTCACAGATCTAAAAACAGGTCCTTTGACCGATCTTTAAAGAACGACGTTGGTTTGAAATAGTTAATAGACTTCCACCAGCTCCGTATGGTGCTAGACTTTTCATGTCTGAACATATATTTATCCACAGCTTTATCTAGTCTGTTCTTGAACGCATTCATACTCGGAGCGTCAACGATGTAATCGAGGAGGCTGTTCCTCACGTTGGTGACTCGAAGCGAGGAGAAGTGTTGCGCGGATGAGTTGCAAAGCAGTTTAGTGTTGTTTTTTTTTTCAAATTCTAGTAATTCTTTTGGGATCTTGTACAAACTATGAGCATACGTGTATACTCGAATTATTAGATCTCTCATTAGGATGGACAACAGCACAACACGTTCGCTCACAGCCTAACACATCCAATATCAGAACTTCGCCAAAGCCGACGGAGATAATTCGTTTAGACACTTGTTCATATGCGCATTTTAAACACAATACACAACAGTAGCATTTCAGAAATTGGTTCGGTGTTTCCCATTTTTACGTCTCTGCGTTCACTTTTCTTGAATTAAAGGTAATTCAAATTACAAAGTGAAAACAGCCGATAAGATCATAGAATTGCCAGATTGGGATGGAGTACAAAGAAAAGCATAGTTATTCAAATTTGAAGATTCTTGTAGATGATTGTAACTAAAGCAGAGAAAATGAACCTTCTGATAGTTGATGTTTTAGTAGAGGCAAAGACGTTTTCTCGTAACGTGTCCAAAAATGATAAGTTTCCAGCTAATATCAAACGCGATACTTTGACCACTGAAGCCCAAAACTCTCCCACGATTATTTACCACGAAAATGTTGGCGTTGACTATAGATTGACGAAACTTGAACGGTAAAAACGCCGATGGTCAAGTTATTATGGAGCGAATTTCTTGCATTGACTGTGGAACAAATTAATTTATATGCTGCGCAATAAATGGAATAACGTAAAGGAATAAAAAATTTTTTGTTAACGTACGAATTTCAATGACGTCCTAACTGCAGAGACAAGTTTTCAGTTAACAAGGAGGCATACGATTCGCGAACTAATCACGCACCATTTGATAACACAAACTACAAAATAGCATCATTTGCGGCCGGCATCTTTAACTACATTCCAAATCAATTCCAATATATTAGATCCAATAATAATTCTATACTGCCACCTATGCTCTTCTCATCAATACGATATTCTTCGTCAGACGTGAGCACGTTTCATTTTCAATATCTGATTGACGGCTGGAATTGCAACGAGAGGAGTGAACACAAATCATTGAAATAGAAAGTCTACATCAATTTGAACCAAGACGCTAACTCCCTAAAATAATTGATCAATGCTCCTTTATAACTCGACAGCAAAACCATACATATTAAAGAACATTGCAGAATTTAACGTTTATAAACCGACTCTAATATTCGGTCGCATACGATAAAATTTCAAGTAAAGCATTAACAGCCAATCTATTCCTCGAGGCTAACGACAACGAGGTCGAATATTTCAAAATCTCTCCATGCATTTGCGGTACCGAAAAATATTCTGGAACTTTAAGTGCCGCCAAGCTCCACCAAAGGCTTGCATTCAGCAGAATATTTTCAGCAGGAATCTGCTAAGAACTGCCAGCCTACATCAGGTTCTGTTTTCTGCATAAGCTGCACCTTCATCATGGCCTTGGACGAACAATAGCTTCTTCGTTTGACAATCAGATCAACTTCTTCGCCGAGGGTCCAAAAAAAGTCGAATTCATGGATAAGGTACATTTTATCACAGATTTTTACTTGGGCACCACACGTTACACGTAATTTCACTTACCTGCAGTCCGTAGAACCCAGAACTGAATGGAAAGAGGACTATCAAGCATGGAAAGCTGTACAAAAATCGAATCGAGATGAAGCGTGAATCAGTAAGTTTGAGTTTTAAGATAACGTGCAACAGCTTTCAATGCAAGACGAGACCATCTTCCCATTGCGGTTCTCGATGGTCTTCCGGAATGCAAGCAATTCTAGAGACTTGAGCCCTCTATCGTGTAGCTGAATCAGAAAACGAGTCAAGATTGATTCTCGAAATTACCCGTTACGAAATAAACAGCACCGACGATTGCTCAAAGTGGCTCTAGAATTACCTTCGAGTCCAGTCAGTTGAGGGTAAGGGAAATAATATTCGAAAAGATCACATCAGCGCCGAAGTTTATTAAGCAATGGAGCTGGCGTTGGAGGCAATCCTGGGCCACAGGTCAGCGCATTCCTTGGCGACGGGTCCCGTGATGGCTGAGCCTGCACAAGAACAAAATGCGTCAGTAAATAAGGCCAAATGTGCTCTTATGGAAGACTTCTTTCATACACGAATGGTAGATGTAACCGTAAAAACAGAAATTCAGCGCACTAATAATTGAGCAAACTTAAAATTCACAAAAAATATAAGGAAGAATAGGTGTTGCATTGTTCAATATACATATATTATATACTGAAATTAATTTTTAGTATGGGAGCTTTATTTTTCGAATCTTAAGAACTTCATTGAAATCTTCTAAGCAGAAAACATTGAAGAAAGCGAGTGCACACGACAATAGACCATAAATGTCAAGTACTGTAGCGAAATTGTTAAAAATCTACACAGGAGTAGACTCGTGAGATTCCGCTTTCAATCTCCTTCAACACGACGACCGAAGCAGATTAAATCTGCCTCGGCGCTTTGTGGAAGGTTCAAGCCACAATAAAAAAATTAAATACAAATAAATAAACAAAATATTACAGCATACTCCGCACTATTGCATACTGCAATCGCAAGTTAAACTTAATTTGGAACAGAAATGTACCAAGACTTTAAAGCTAGCAGAGAAGCAAGCTTGTGAGATCCTGCTATTAATTTTCTTCAACACGACGACCAGCAAAAATATAATTAATTCTGGCGCTTTGTGGAAGAATACACTAGATATTTTCAATGGAATTGAGATAATTAGGAAATATAAAATTAATTATTGCACATTACTCAAAATCGGGAGCACCTACTAGCACGGCGTGATCCGGGTCCAACAACTATGATATGCATTTTAAATTTTCACATCGCATTCAAGAAAATTAGATTTTTTGATTTTTGATCCATACGTTCAGCATAACTGCACCTGATATCCTCGCTCTCGAGCATCATAACTCAATGAATGAGTTATGATGATTATGATAACGAGACTCAATGAGCACCTGAGTTAGCAAATCATCGTGTAGAACGAAGTAACGTGCAATAAATTCTAAAATCATTATAAGAACTTGCTGGTTGTTGAAAACAAATGTTATCGACTTATCGTTGACGTAAAGACAATTAATATCCTTCGCTCACCCTTCATTTCTCCTTTAACGTTGACAATAACACCAGCATTATCTTCGAAGTTGATGAATGTGCCATCCTTCCTCCTGAACATCTTCCTCTGTCTGATGATGACGGCGGGATGCACTTTCTTCCTTAGCTCAGGTTTGCCTTTCTTCACCGTGGCAGCAATAATATCGCCCACACTGGCGGCGGGTAGTCTGTTCAGGCGACCTTTGCGGCCCTTCACGCTGATCACGTACAAGTTCTTAGCTCCTGCACGTATGACAACAATGATTTTTTTCATCACGCTATTTACTAATTATGAATAGGAGAATAAATCTCTTACAATCACTGAAATATTCCGCTTGTTCTAGGTCCCTTGAGAGTGATCCAAACTTCATAAAGGAAAGTATTTATTCTAGATTCTTAGCTTTGATCATCATATCTGAGAAGTTCTCAGCTGCAAAGCACTGACATGCACATGGAAATATAAATTAAAACAATTATTTTATGGGTTGGTTTACAAGAGCAATAGAATTGCAACCTTTCACAGTTTGCATTCAGTTTACACACGTTTCACCATTTGACCTAAATTAAATTTGCACATATGTCTCACCGTTATTTTCAATTTGATGTATATCAACATAATATAAAATTATAACAAAAAGTGCATAATCACTAGAAGTAAAACAAATATCCTAGAGTCAGACCTGTGTTATCAGCACAGTTGACGACGGCACCAACTGGCAGACCAAGAGTCACTCGGAACTTGCCTCCTGCTGCTCCTCCTCTTCCTGTGAAGTGAAGCTTGTTAGCGCCATGATGAATTATTTGGTAAAAAATATTCAATTTGCATGCCACAGCTCATTATATTTACACAGATACAGCTCATTATATTTACACAGATACTTAGCAAAGGCTGGTAGTTAAAATAACTGAAATCCTCTAGAACCGTATCATTTTTAAACCTACAATGCACTCTAGGGAAATTTTCCAGGTGGGGTTTTCTGGGACCCAACCGGTTGCTTAAGCAAAAAAAATTGCTTTCATTGATTTGGCATAAATTTGTTTTCTACTTAAAGATGGCCTGCAATACAAGCCTGAATATTATTGTGTATAAGAATCTGAAGCATTTTTTACAGAGGGCAGATGTATACATATTTTGAGTTAATTTCCTAGTGCAAATCAATTTCTTGAGATATTTGATCATTTTTTACCAATATATTTTTTTTTAAATGCTCAATGATGAGGATGCTTCACATTCCAGAGTGGAATTGGTTGATAAATTAAATATTTAATCATTGATATCTCTTCTCTAAGAGTACTTTACAATAATTTTATATAGGAACGCAAAATCAAGCAAATGGTTTTCCAGAAACCATCAAATTAACGAGTTTTTTTCAGAAACCATCAAATTCACCGATCTAGTTAATTTTATTCAATAATGCTGGTATCCACAATACTTTACAAGTCTACTCATAGTTATCCAAAAGAAATAGTCTAAAAAAAGTCAGCATTGCCACATGTTTGAGGGTGAAGTGTTTGAAGGGTAATGAATAGTAAGTCACGAGAGAAAATAATTCACTTTGTACTATCTCAACCATTCCTATGGCCCTTGCTCATTAGCTTAAACAAGAATTGAGAAGACTGGCAATTTCTCTTGGTTATCCATGAAGCCATTGCTTATACCCACAATTTTTTATTTCAAATTGTTCAAGATTTTTTTTTGATTGGTAATGAATTGGGAAATTTAAATATTTTAGAGTTCATATCAGATAGATCTTCAAAGTAAAAATTAGACCAACACTTCAAATTTATAGCCATTTTAGAAGCAAGCAATTGAGCCAGCATCAGCCATCAGTCAGATAATATTGGACAGAATTTTGGGGAAAAATCATTTTGCAGGGGATTTTCAAAAAAATAGGGGGCAAAAAATGTGCATATCTTCTTTAAGATTACAAAAAAATCAAGCAAATTGGTGAAATTCTTTGCAAGAATATTTTTTTGTTACCCTTATAAGTGGCTTCAACTCAATTTTCCCATTATTTGTGTTAGGGGCCAGACTGTCATCAAAGCAAATTTTGTATAACAATATATAAAATTGGAACTTGAATTTATATACATCTTAGTCAAATATCACAGCATTTTACAATCAACATTCAAGGTAATATATTTTTTGCTTAATAATTTGACAAAATAAAATACAAATCAACATCAATACAATGCCACTCTAGCCTGGAAAATTGGGCAGCAGCCTACCACTAAAGACTAAAATGCCAGTGCTTGCTGTCAGAACTTTCTTATTGCCCTTTAACAATTTCTCTAGTCAAAATTATGGAAAATTGCCAATTTTTGCCCACAATATTCTGACCACCAGGAAAATGATCTATTAATGAGAAATTCATTGTACATTTGTAAGATTGGAGACACTGGATTCTTTGGAAGTGTTGTCTTTAAAAAGTAATTTTTAAACGCATATTATTAAACCTACAATGCACTCTAGAGAAATTTTCCAAGTGGGGTTTTCTGGGACCCAACAGGTTGCTTAAGCAAAAAAATTGCTTTCATTGATTTGGCATAAATTTGTTTTCTACTTAAAGATGGCCTGCAATACAAGCCTGAATATTATTGTGTATAAGAATCTGAAGCATTTTTTACAGAGGGCAGATGTATACATATTTTGAGTTAATTTCCTAGTGCAAATCAATTTCTTGAGATATTTGATCATTTTTTACCAATATATTTTTTTTTAAATGCTCAATGATGAGGATGCTTCACATTCCAGAGTGGAATTGGTTGATAAATTAAATATTTAATCATTGATATCTCTTCTCTAAGAGTACTTTACAATAATTTTATATAGGAACGCAAAATCAAGCAAATGGTTTTCCAGAAACCATCAAATTAACGAGTTTTTTTCAGAAACCATCAAATTCACCGATCTAGTTAATTTTATTCAATAATGCTGGTATCCACAATACTTTACAAGTCTACTCATAGTTATCCAAAAGAAATAATCTAAAAAAGTCAGTATTGCCACATATTTGAGGGTGAAGTTTTTGAAGGGTAATGAATAGTAAGTCAGGAGAGAAAATAATTCACTTTGTACTATCTCAACCGTTCCTATGGCCCTTGCTCATTAGCTTAAACAAGAATTGAGAAGACTGGCAATTTCTCTTGGTTATCCATGAAGCCATTGCTTATACCCACAATTTTTTATTTCAAATTGTTCAAGATTTTTTTTTGATTGGTAATGAATTGGGAAATTTAAATATTTTAGAGTTCATATCAGATAGATCTTCAAAGTAAAAATTAGACCAACACTTCAAATTTATAGCCATTTTAGAAGCAAGCAATTGAGCCAGCATCAGCCATCAGTCAGATAATATTGGACAGAATTTTGGGGAAAAATCATTTTGCAGGGGATTTTCAAAAAAATAGGGGGCAAAAAATGTGCATATCTTCTTTAAGATTACAAAAAAATCAAGCAAATTGGTGAAATTCTTTGCAAGAATATTTTTTTGTTACCCTTATAAGTGGCTTCAACTCAATTTTCCCATTATTTGTGTTAGGGGCCAGACTGTCATCAAAGCAAATTTTGTATAACAATATATAAAATTGGAACTTGAATTTATATAAATCTTAGTCAAATATCACAGCATTTTACAATCAACATTCAAGGTAATATATTTTTTGCTTCTTAATTTGTCAAAATAAAATAACAAATCAACATCAATACAATGCCACTCTAGCCTGGAAAATTGGGCAGCAGCCTACCACTAAAGACTAAAATGCCAGTGCTTGCTGTCAGAACTTTCTTATTGCCCTTTAACAATTTCTCTAGTCAAAATTATGGAAAATTGCCAATTTTTGCCCACAATATTCTGACCACCAGGAAAATGATCTATGAGATTTCTGCCAGATGAATTACCTCTTATAGCCTATAATTGTTAACAAAAATGCACGATCGGGCCGCATGATTTCAGATGTATAAAAAATTTGTCACATTGAAGCTGCAAGATTTCAGCAAAAAGTAGGAAAATTCTAATCCTGATTGGAGTCAGCACTGAGTTGATGGCAGCCTCCAATAGAATCTTTTATTTAATGCACAAAACTGAACCTGGAATATTTATCCAGCAGTATAAAGTATACAAGCCAAACCAGCTTTGTAAATTGTTACTAGGTTATAAACAAACACAGCATAAAAATTAAAATTCTGACCACTATTTTAGTTTAAAATGTTATCAACAAGCAATGAGTTAAGCACAGCAGTGACAGCACAACAGAATCTGATAAAGAGTCAAGTAGCAACTCTTGTGTTATCAAAGCCTCATGGTACAGTGAGTAGACCAGTAAAGTATTATGGTCTATGGATACCAGCAGTATCCTACTGACCCATAGTGGCAAACCAGAAATTTTTCAGAATCTGTTCATTTTTAATTTCCTCATTTACTGAATTGGGTAAACACCATATTCCAACACCTCAAGGACGTAGCAAGAAATAAACGGCTATAAATAGATCACTGTATGGCACAACTCAAGTTAGTTTAGTGGCCAAATGTTTACTAGCGCTTCAGCTATTTAGCTATCTCACACCGAAAGTCAAGATGAACATCACCATAAAGGTGGAAGGTCTCAATTATTCATCACCCACAAGGGGCAGAAGGTCTCAGATGTCCAGCCCGTTGAAGCTGGCTCAAAAGAAGCAGCGTTAGCATCTCAAAGAGACGAAGTGACAAGGAGAGACAGGTGAAAAGCAACAGAAACTAAGACACTTGAACAAGAGGTCGCTTACACGGGACGTCGGCCGCCCGCACGAGAGAGACANGCACTCACTTCTTTTATGAGGTCGTTTGTCAGTTGTCACGGGGGACGTAGCCCCTACCCATGCTGGTGTCCCGCTGACGACTGACGAGCGTCTGCTATTAGCTCTGATGAAATGAGTGCATGAGGGAACTGACAAAGGACTTATTCATCGCCTCGATAGCTTGACAGAATTTAGTATGTTCTATAATGGGACTAATAAAAACAACTTGGTGACGGATACTTGGTGAAACATTAGCTAATATATTGCATTCGAAGTTATTGTTGTATTAAAATTCTCTAAATTATTTATGGGATTGCACAAAATTTTGTTGTATATGCGCTTCTGGACATTTGTCTAACCTGCTTTTTGTGACGAGAACCGGAAATGATTTACAATGCTTGAAGGCTGGCTTCGCCGTTATAGATCGAAAACCGCAATCAACGAACTTTTTATTTGTCGAAAAATCATTTGCTTCTGTTGGGGAACGTTTTTCCGTGGTTGCATCTGTCTCTTATACACATCTAGATGTGTATAAGAGACATCTATCAGGGGAGTATAAATGAACTGCTAGGCGAGATACCTGAATTTATTTGGGGTTGAATTTTTATGTAATTGCTTCAATTTCACCTATCTAGCCTATAAAATTATTTTTTGCTAAAATGCCCAGCCTGACTCAGGTTTAAAATTTATAATCAACCAATTCAAGCCACTCAGGCTCAGCTCATCAATATGATCAATTTAATCACTAAGTCAAAATGTTTTACTCTATGTTGATATTTCAAGCTGCCATATCAATAAATTTTGCCAAAAGAACTCCTGAACCTTCATCTTCATGGCGGCAAAATGGCAGACCAGAGATTTTTTAAAAATCGTTTTATTTCAAATTTCATCTTCCACTCAAAAATTTAATAGATTAATTATGTATGCCAAAACTGTATTCAAGATTCTTACTGGCCAACTTAGGTTAGTTAGGTATACTATAGGTAGGAGTCAAAACTGAAGTTGAGGAAGGGTAACAAAAAATAATCCTTTGCCCTAGGCGGCTAGGCCTATGGCATTATTGGAACATCTGCAAGGCTTATTCACTATTAAACGTTGATCATCTCCAAATAAATTCTTAATATATAACATTACGGCATTACCTACAATACTTAGGAGTATTAATGTTACAGTGTTACTAACCTCGCTTAGACATGATGAACGGTTGAACTACTGCGACACCAACGACTATCCACGAAAGCAAACGATTCAAGGAAACAGCACGATGCCACGATCTACGCCGATGTTGCTGCACCGAACGGGAGTTATTTTCTATAGATCTGAATTCTAAATATCATGAACAATAAAAATTTTTCTATACCATTTAACTTGCGTTAGAAGTTAAATCCATAATACAAATTATTAATATTAAAATATTGAAATGATTCCTACGGTTTACTTTGAGTACATGTGAAATAAATATACCGATAAAATCGTATTTATCCATCAATCATAGAGGCCACAGCTCAATTAATGCCAATATAAGCGTTATTTGTTGCGAAAATGTTTGAACAGGGTGTAAATTCAGTTCTATCTTCGTTTATATTCAAAAATTTATTTCTGGAGCACTTTTTAAACTCAATCGACAATTCTACGGACTCGCCAGCGGACTCGCCTGCGGACTCGCGCAACTGGGCCACTCAACTCATAATTTCTTAAATACTCAACGGATCTGTATGAATTTTGGAATGTGAGTATTAATTATCGATACGCTGCCACAGGAATTATTTTAGATTTTTATATTTATTTTTTTAATTAAAACCAATAAACGTATTTTTTAAGCAACTGGGCCACTCATAATTCCTTCAATACTTAACGGATCTATATGAATTTTGGAATGTGAGTATTAATTATCGATACGCTGCCGCAGAAATTATTACAGATTTTTTACATGACTGATTATTAGGTTAGGTTAGGTTAAGTTGGGTTAGGTTAGGTTAGGAAATGATTCATGCAAAAATCTGTAATAATTCCTGCGGCAGCGTATCGATAATTAGTACTCACATTCTAAAATTCATACAGACCCATTAAGTATTTAAGGAATTATGAGTGACCCAGTTGCGCGAGTCCGCAGGCGAGTCCGCTGGCGAGCCCGTAGAATTGTCGATCGAGTACTTTTTAAAACGTCTTTAAAATCCTTACTAGATGTGTTATCAAAGCCTCATGGTACAGTGAGTAGACCAGTGAAGTATTATGGTCTATGGATACCAGCAGTATCCTACTGACCCATAGTGGCAAACCAGAGATTTTTCAGAATCAGTTCATTTTTAATTTCCTCGTATACTGAATAGGGTAAACACCATATTCCAACACCTCAAGGACGTAGCAAGAAATAAATGGCTATAAATAGATCACTGTATGGCGCAACTCGAGTTCCAATTGGTTTAAGTCACTCAAAACACCACACTATGAACCAGCAATGATGAAATGTCACAAACTGTTTCCATATTTATTTAAAAGCCTTTGGAATTCAAATCTACAAAATTGCTGAATTCCAACACTGCGTGTAACTAAATGCGGCTCATTGTGAGACAAATTCCGACAGCGCTTCAAAATCATAACTCTGACTGTCTGACTGTCAGAATTAGACCCCTGTCGTTTCATGTGTCTAAAACCCTCTCTTAAGTCAATCATCTATTAATTTAGGTATTTACCACTTAAAATCAGCAAATACAAGTATACTTAAAGGATTCCTAATAAATTCACAGCCTTGTTTTAAAGTCTCAAACCACAATATTTTTTCTACACAAACAGTTCATCACTATTTAGTAAAGCAAGGTCAACTATCAACTTTCATACGAGTTTCAATGTTCTCACTAGCTAACTTGGACTTTTGCTCTGCGGATCCTAACATTTTCCACTAGACCTAATGACAGGCTACTGTTTTGCGGAAATCTCGAGCGCAATGGTAGGTATGACATCACTATTTCAACCATCTCTGCATGCGTGGAACTAAAACCAAGCTTAATATAAAGGAAAAAGTTAAGGGGTGTCAGAATTACCAAGTGTCAGAATATGGTGTGTTTACCCTATTCAAACCAATAACTGATTTCTTTATGATAATGCTGGTATCCATCATCCATGATAGGCTAGAGTAACATAGTGGCAAACCAGAGCTTTTTTAGAATCAGTTCATTTTTAATTCCCTCATTTACTCAAGATTTAAACAATTTCTTAAGTATGATAATGCTGGTATCCAGGATACTTTACTGGTCTACCGTCTACTTATAGGACTCAAAAATGAACTTGAGGGAGAGTCTAAAAAACTCTCTGCTTTGCCACTATGTAGAGTAAACGCGGTATATTCCAACATTGTGGGTAATTCAGACACTTCTCAACTTTTTTCTTTATATTAAGCTTTGTCTTGGTTCCATGCATTCATTGATGGTTGAAATAGTGACGTCATACTATTGCGCACAATAATATTGCCAAAACACTAGGTCTGGGCCGTCTGGTGGGAAAATGTTAAGATCCAAAGAGAGAGTGCATGTCACCCAGTGAGAACATTCAAAAACGTGTCAAAGTTGATCATAAACATTGCTCTACCTAATAGTGATAAACTGTGTAGAAAGAATATTATGGTTTGACTTTTAAATAAGTCTGAATATATTAGGAATCCTTTAAGTATACTTGTATTTGCTGATTTCAAGTGGTAAATATATTAATAGATGATTAAGTTAAGAGATGGTTTTCGACACAAACTAATTCCAACACAGCTTGGAATTAGACACAAAAAAAAAAAAATTCCTTATATCTCTTAATTAAAAGCCTAATTAAGTAGTGTTCTAATTCACAGCTGTGTTGTATTCCATTTCCAATAGCTACAGCTCACAAAGCAATCCTTATTCAAACACATGAGGGTCAGTATTAAGAATTAGTTGAGTTTGAAGAGCGGCCAGAATTGGTCTCACAAAACGCCAAATTTAGTCACACAGCATCGGAATATATGGATTTGGTAGGTTTGCATTCTAAAGGCTTTAAATAAATATGGCAACAGTTTGTGCCTTCGTGCCGTTTCATTGTTGCTGGCGCATAGTGCCGTGTTTCAAGAGTGACGTGTGTAGTGTGCATAGGCTACTGAGATTTTCTTATAGCCATTCATTTTTTGCTACGTCCTTACTCCTTAATGTGTCTGAATATACTGCGTTTACCCTACTTTACTGGTCAGCAGTCTACTTAATAGTTATAGTAGGCCTACTCAAAATTGAACTTGAGGGAGTCTAAAAAACTCTGCTTTGCCACTATGTTAAACTGACCTACTCAAGTCAAGATATTGCTTCAAATCTAACAATCTAAGTAGACTAAATGAGCAAATTAAAAATTAACTGATGCTGAAGAATCTCTTGCCACTATGTTAAACTGACCCTACCTACTCAATACATTTTTTGCTACGTCCTTAATGTGTTGGAATATACCGCATTTACCCTATTTTACAAGTCACTGGTCAGCGGTCTACTTAATAGTTATAAGTTTATTAAGTTATAGCCTAGTAGACCTACCTAGGTTACTAGCAATACTAGGTACTCAAAATTGAACTTGAGGAAGTCTAAAAAAACTCTTCTTTGCCACTATGTTAAACTGACCCTACCTACTCAATTCAAGATACCTAGCTATTGCTTCAAATCTAACAATCTAAGTCTACCTAGGCTAAATGAGCAAATTAAAAATTAACTGATGCTGAAGAATCTCCAGTTTGCCTTTGCCACTAACCCAGTAAACCCACTATGCTATTTATAAGGCTAATTGAAGTATCATGGATACCAGCATCACCACTTCATAATTTCATAGGTATACCTAGATGTTGAATAAATTTTGAACTCTATCAGGGGAGTACTATAAATCAGAGTGGTAAATTATAAATGAACTGCTATGTGGCAGTTTCCCAGCAAATTAACGGTCGTTGGTCCCTTCTCGTCGCTCACCGACGATATTCCCAGTTATTTCCCACACTGCAGAATATCGAAAAGTGCTATCTATAAAATTATTCTTTGCTAAAATGCCCACTGCCCAGCCTCACTCTCAGGTTTAAAATTTATAATCAACCAATTCAAGCCACTCAGGCTCAGCTCATCAATATGATCAATTTAAACACTAGGTCAAAATGTCTTACTCTTTGTTGATATTTCAAGCTGCCATATGACATATCAATAAATTTTGCCAAAAGAACTCCTGAACCTTCATCTTCATGGCGGCAAAATGGCAGACCAGAGATTTTTTAAAAATCTATTTTAAATTTCCCAGTTGCGCGAGTCCGCAGGCGAGTCCGCTGGCGAGCCCGTAGAATTGTCGATCGAGTACTTTTTAAAACGTCTTTAAAATCCTTACTAGATGTGCAGTCCATAAATGCCGAATACTATACTTCATGGTAATGGAATAAATTCGAAATTATATAACATATACTCATGTAATTTTGCTTTCAGTACATTTATTTTGATGAAAAAGAATAATTAAATGCAATATTAAACAATAGAGTAGCACAGTGGTTACTGTTAAAGAATGCCCAAGTTTGAAGCTGTGAGTTGATTGTTCGATAACCCTCCGGTGACAGTTGGTATTAATCGACGAGCTGGCAGGGTAGTTCAGAATTTCAAAATCGGAACACTTAATTGCAGGTTAGAAACATTAAACTTTAAGAATTGTTGGATGTCTAGAATCAGCGACACGCTAAATTCGGCCAATTTAACGCTGACACCGTTATTACTGTAGCTAAAGGTGCTTGAACACGGGGACAGTGCAGGCGGCAGGTATATTTGGCAAATATTGGCCGCTTGGTGACTATCCGGCAAGGAAGCTTATCACTGTAGCAGCTGAACTCCTATACACGAGGCCAGTAGCATGGACACTTCAAGCGGCAGATCAACTGGCGGCCAGTACTGTCCCCGTGTACAGGCACCTTAAGACGCCTACAGTGTGTTTATTGGTTGCTCAAATGGAGGAATTTTTCGTGAGGATATGAAGACATTGCATCAATTTTGTTTTGATCTTTTAATGCAAGGTATTTCAATGCGTGTAGACAAATGGCAGTCACAGAGCACTGTATGATCGGTCAAGTTGCGTCGGGATCAGCGCCTTAACATCCAGCGTAGAGCTTCAACACTGGACAACAGCTGAGTTGGCGATACTGAGGTGGAGTCAGGATTCCCCTGGAACGATACTGCTATTTGTACTAAGAAATAATAATCAATTTTTGTCAGTTACTAGAATATTTATATTACATTGTATACCACTTACGGAATATACATTATGTAATTATGTTCACCAACCTAAGCAGAGTGGCAGTATCAACGGTGACGTTCGAAGCTGCCAGCTTTGCCTGAAGCGTGAGAGCTTCTTGGACTCCAGCGAGACATCCCTTTAACGAAAATTTCAGGATTAATAATTAAAATTCTGACTAGTTTATTTTATTTAAAATTCAAAGTGAGCAACAGCGATGCAAGTGTTTAAAATAGTTGTGTGCACCTGCAGTGATTTAGGTAAGAAAAATTGTTTGCATCGCGTCTGTGACTTAAGTAGAGTTTTAACTTTTAATATATAAAAAATATTCAAGCGAATTGCGTTAATAGTAGTAATTATATTGAATAGGAAGCAGGAAAATGTTATTGTGTAGTACCTCGTCTGGCAAGTAAACCGCCGTCGAACACACGTGCTGCATTTCCGACTTTTTTCGAACTAGATCTGAAATATCAGTGAGACCAGTTACCTCTTCTGCCTTTGAAATTCAAGAGTATATGATTTATTTTCAATAACATGATTGTGTGTGAGTTGTTCCACGATTGCGCCTCACACTCACATCATTAACGTTGCAGAGCTAGTCATGTTAGAATCAACAACGCTTACTAGGCTGGAGTAAATCGTAGTTTAAAACATAAGCGAGTTTACTGGAATCATGTCATGGCGTAATGCTTCTGAGTATTAATTAAATATTCCTATAGAAATCTTTAGATAACCAATATTACCGGAAGAAGGTCTTTAAAAATGAACCGAAATAATATGCACTCACTTCTTTTATGAGGTCGTTTGTCAGTTGTCACGGGGGACGTAGCCCCTACCCATGCTGGTGTCCCGCTGACGACTGACGAGCGTCTGCTATTAGCTCTGATGAAATGAGTGCATGAGGGAACTGACAAAGGACTTATTCATCGCCTCGATAGCTTGACAGAATTTAGTATGTTCTATAATGGGACTAATAAAAACAACTTGGTGACGGATACTTGGTGAAACATTAGCTAATATATTGCATTCGAAGTTATTGTTGTATTAAAATTCTCTGAATTATTTATGGGATTGCACAAAATTTTGTTGTATATGCGTTTCTCGACATTTGTCTAACCTGCTTTTTGTGACGAGAACCGGAAATGATTTACAATGCTTGAAGGCTGGCTTCGCCGTTATAGATCGAAAACCGCAATCAACGAACTTTTTATTTGTCGAAAAATCATTTGCTTCTGTTGGGGAACGTTTTTCCGTGGTTGCATCACGTGAAGGTCCCTCCAGGTCATGCACGTATGCAGATTTCGGGCCACTGGACTCGGGGAGTTCGATCGATTTGGAATGCCTGCTAGCGGTTTCCAAAATGTCAGCTGGTAAGGTTTCGACGTCGCTGTGCACAGGACTAGCAAGTGATACTTGAGTGCTAATCTCAACAACTGACTTTCGTTTGTTGACAGTTCTTGGGGGGAAAACACTTTCTTTACACATCGAGATTGCATTTTCATATTCGTACAAGTGATCACTGGTCACGTCAATTTGGCGTGAAGAATTAATACCGATATGAGTTTCGTTCACATTTTCTGCGCTGCTAATTGTGTCCAAAATATCTCGTTCGGTTACATTTGAGGAACAATCTGGCTTTGGCGTGATGAAAATACTTAACGGGACTTTTTTATGAGATGACGACTTTTTCCTCCCGTGTATCTCCTTTTTCAGTATCTGTCGGGTAGATTCGATGGTTCTCAGATCTTTTATGGACAAAGTAGCCATTTTATCCTCCACGATATTTCCACGCGCGTCAATCCCGATATCTGCGTGATCGTCAATCGCATGCTCTTGTGATGGTTTAGTAAACATGTTTTTGAATGGAACAAATGAATTCTTCCCGCGTGGTCGGTAGCCGGTGAAACGATACTGCTTTCTAAGCGTTCTTTTTCTTTGCTCTTGATCGGAGTAAGTTAGGAAACGTGCTGGATATTTGCTATACTGACCAAAACTATTGGATGCTTCTTCATCCTCGTCTTCTTCTTCGTTTGGAGCTGCCGGTATGATTTGGCATGGAATCGTGTCTTTCGGAGCGCACCTTGCAGGTGTAACATATTGTTGCTTGACGATTGGGACATTTTCTTCACGTGATTTGGCGTTTATGCCGATAGTATGAAACGAGTCTAAACAAATTTCAGAATCTACCATGTTCGCATTATCAACTTGTTTCATTTTGTGACTATATTTTTCTTCCGTTTTATTCCCTAAAAATGCATTGGTTTCTACCGTTGCATCGGCCTCAGCGAATGATAAAACAGCAGCATTATTAATCATTTTTTGGATAATGAGAGACCTTGAAACTAAAACGTTCGAAGTTGGCGCAACTCTCTCATCAATGGTCAATTCAGAACTTTCATGTGCTTCGTTGGTCGTTTCATTCACAACGGTTTTTGTTGGAAAACCCGAAGAACGTAAATGAGGTTTAGAAACTTGTTCTCCAGTAGAGTTCAGACTTTCAAGATACACGTTGTTTGAACTTGTTTTTGCGGTGCTGGAGGAGAGCGGGACCAGTTTCGGAGTCAATGATAAGCGTATGATTTGGTTACCGATTGGCCTTTTAAATCTAACATTATCGGGGTTCTTGGTTACTTTCTTATTTTTTTCTATTTCAATGACAGTTTTCTGAGACAAATTCATAGCTTTGGCTTCTTTTTGTTTATATTTTTCATTATTGTTTTCCCACGCGGCTTTTACCTGAGGGCGGTCAAGTACATCGTTAAGAATCGGAAGGCATTTGAAGCCAGGGGAACTTTGACTTTTGTTGAGCCGCTTTCTTGCATTCTGAGGCCCAAGTTTCGGTGGTCGCGATTTGACCAACATGTCGCTTAGGCAACTTTCTGTTCTTTTGAAAGTTTGTTGTCTCGAATTTTTGTTATTAATATGTCTTGCTAAGGAAGCAGTGGTAGGCAAAGAAGTTGCCACTTTCTCACTTGCACTCGTATTACGAGACATTGCTGCTTATTGGCGTACCAGTCTTATATAGCAATGTATTTTCATCTAAAGATTTATGAGGGTTATAAATATTAAACAAAGCCCAACGTGCTCATTCATAAAATAAATGGTCATTAAGCTTATTTTTGCTCATTGACCCTCGTTACTAGAGCAAAAGTAGATATCTTAAATTTCTGAAACTCTTCACACGGCAACGCTAGTCAAAACGTCAATGTTTTTTAGAACTCATATATAAAATATATAAAAGCATATAAAATTGAAATGTTGATTTGAAAAAGTTTTTTCGTGAAATGTCTACAAAGATCACTGGACAACACCCCAGCCATCGGCGGATAGTTCCTTAGCAACGCATCGGTGTTGTTGTTAAGGAGTTCACGGTACGAACGCCGAACAGCGGCTAATCTTCACTTACAGGACACTGACCTCTGTCGCCAACGTGTTAAACTTGCAATTCAAAACTTCCTACTTAAATAAAACTTGCTATTTATTTTTGAAGAACTAATTACAATTTAATTACGATCCAGATCTTTTGTTGGTTAGAAAGTTATTATTGACAGCAACAATGAAAGCAAGCCACAGCAGTGCCGCGTGAGAGGCCGAGGTCGATACAGCAACTGAGCGGCGGCTTACCCGCCCAGCATGCGAAGCGCCAACACGCAGCAGTCAGAGCCACAAAGGCTGCGGTAAATTGTGGCTTGCTGAACTGCTTCTTGCGTGACCTCAGTAGCCACAGTAGCGCCTCAGTGACCTCAGTAGCGCCTCAGTGACCTCAGTAGTGCCTCAGCGACTTTAGTAACGCCTCAGTGACATTATTAGGATCTCAGTAGCCTCAGTAGCACCTCGATAAGCGACTTCAGTAACGCCTCGTGACATCATTAGCATATCTCAGTGGCCTCAGTACCGTCTCAGTGGCCCTACTAAGGCGTATCAATGGCCTCAGTAGTGCCTCAACGGCCGCAGTAGCACCTCAGTGACCTCAGCAGACTCCCAAGGCATCGTGCCTGGGCAGCTGATTAGGGATGAAAAATGATGAACAACGAGAAATTTACCTGAAGCGCTGCTGGCCCCGACGATATTGCATAAACTAGGTAGTTTTGTCCGAAAGAAAATATTAATCTAGTGAGGAAATTATAGCAGGTTTTGCCATTGCAGACGCTATGAAGGAAATGTCAACGTGGATGTAGGAAGTAATGGAAAAAACGCAAATGGCACATGCATGCATTATGGATGCAGAAGTTGTCGGTGTAATTAATGAGTTGATGGTATACATAGCTGCAGATTTGGTCGATATTCAGTTCACCGAAGGTTCTGTTTAGTGAAACGGAAGTTAACTTTTGTACTCTTTCATTTATTGGATATTATTCAATACTCTGTCATGTCACCATGAAAATTACACGACTTTTAATCTAATTAAAATTCAAAACAAACCTGAACTGACGGATAAAAAATAAATGTATTTACATATTTCAGGGACTCCTATTAATAGGACCATTGTCAAATTACCTCCTAAAATAATAAGTAAAAAAAATATTGCTGGCATTATTAAAGTTTAATAAGCAATTGGAATCCGACAGGGAAATTGGAGTGAAATTTAACTGGAAAAATTTAGAATACGAATATCAAGTTACCAAAAAAGATAAATTAAATGCTTTTCATGTTTTCCTCGGCTTCAAACCTGTACCTTATAAATTAAATTTTTCTTATGAACTTGTGGATAAATTTTTAAGTGAAAAAATGCTCTAAAATTTTATGCTCTGCCAAAGTTGGGCATTACCTTTAATATATGGTATATATATAACATTAACATATATAGCATTACCTATAATATATGAATATGACGGCTTACAAATCAATGAATGAATTATAACTGTTCACACGGGGTTTGAGAGATTATAGGTGAAAAAATTACAAACAAAAAACTTTGGGAAAACAGGAAAATATGAAATAATTATTATAAATTTAACAAAAATTTCATTTTGGTTCAATGATGAAAAGTTACTTTAATACTTTAATTTAATTATTAAATAATGCTAGGGTCACGATACCTTAATTATTATTCTAAAGAAAATAAGGTGTTTGAAGCGAGAAATGTGGAGCTGAAAACCTTTAAAAAATGACAGTAACATTAAAAAAATATTGTTCGGCTTTTTAGAAATAAAATAAAAAGCAATTTTCATTGAGAATCGAAGAAAAATTTTCATTGAAATGAAAAATGAACGCATTTTTTATTTTTGTCATTGAAACAGCAATTTTCGAGCGGGTGTAAATTTCACAAATCATTTTTTTGGAAACGTTCACTCAGCGAAATGAGTGAGACATTTTTAAAAAGCGATGCACCCACTTTGGTATTCCAAAGAGAGTGTCAGTGCTACTTTCGCTCTCTGCTTGCACTGTGGGTAATTGGGTCATTATTTTGGACACTATGACACATACAATTTCCTGAGAGTTGCTTCCTGAGTATATTGTTGAACTATTTTTCACGCATTTTTGGTAAAAAAATGAGAAAATTCGGACAAAAACTAGCGAATAGAATTGGTTCTGAATCACCCAACACTGATGATTGTACAGCTGATCCAAAAGTTAGTATGAAGATCATACTTTCCTGGTCATAAAGTTTGCGCAAATTTTCGGAATTTAACTGACGATAAATGTTTTTACATTTAAGTAAATTTTCTTCACTGAAAATTCGCATTATCTCTGCGAGCATAAATGAACACTTGCACAAGATTCTTGGTACTATATAACGTACCTCAATAACTGGCAGTTCCATATACAAAACTTACATTAATTGTACTTCTTATTCGCTTTTTTATTCATCTTTCTCTGTTCTAGTCGCTCAAGCCCAACTTCTTTACTGCTGGAGACGTCGTCGTTTTCGAGTTTTTCGCTACCTGAAGAAGCTGGTGCTCCTAAATTTGTTTCTGGTGCTCCTAAGTTCACTTTTTGCTCTCCTGAATTAATTTCTTGCCCTCCCGAATTTTTATCTCCTGATTCTAAATTCTCTTCTTGCTTTAGCTTGCCAAGAGATGTCTTGTCAGTTGTTGGTCTGCCGTCTGTCGGGGGCCGGAGTTGCAGGTTAGATTCATTCACATTTTTTGTGAAACGTTCAAAAAGTTCCTGGAATTTCTCGACATTGGCAGTAAGACACTCAATTCTTGTGTTCAAAGCATCGACTTGACTTGCAATTTGTCTTGGTGAAGCCAGAGCCCGACGAGAGGCCGCGGACTTGGCGAGACGACCTGATGACTGACGTAGTAAAGACGCTGACGTGGGGCGACTAGGGTAGTGCAGTTCACCGTCCCAGCCTCCACCAAGCTGATGTGACACATTCTGGTGAAATTATGGGTATTATGAACAAATTATTGTGAGGAATTAGATTATATTATTAAAATATTATGGAAAACTATCGACTAAAGCAAAAATTTACACAGGCAGGTACATCACATGCATACACATCGCTCTATCTTTGACGTTTCGAAGCATATACATATGCAGGAATTGCAAAGAATTTTTTGGTCAAAGTTTTATGAACATTTTTTTGGTCAAAGTTTTATGAACATTTTTCTGATCATGAAAGCTGCAGTTCAATCGAAAATATCATGAGGTATCCAAACTTGAAAACACTGCCTAAACTTCTCTCTACTTTTGAGAAGCGTGATCAGGGTTGCCAGATGGTTTGAAAAACGGCCATGCACGTGCACAAAAAAGGTTAAAAAGGGCCACCATTCAATATTAATAGTAAATTTGTAGGTTGGGGTTTGCAAGAATTCAACTTTTTATTTCTGTCTGTTCTCTGTAAAATACAATAATGAAGCACCGCCATCATAAATTTTGGAAGGCTTACGCCATTGAAAAATACTAAATCGTGGAATTCGCCCAAATAAACACCATCTGGCAAATCTGAGCGATATACTTAACTGTCTACCTCCGTATGTCACTCTCCGGGAACTTAAGTTTCAACTTAAATTATACGTAAACTATTGAGTGTAACAACCTGAGGACGTTTGTTCGCAATAGACAACATTCAAAGTTGTCGTATGTAGTGGCAACCATCAGTGCGTCATTTTGCGTTCACTAGAACGTATCCTTTTTGGGAAGATAGGCTTGTGACAATATTGCTCCGGTTAAATACTCATGTCAGGCGGTAGAGGGTTAAATCTAAACCAAACCTTAGCAACTGGCTTCTTCATGGAAGCGGACGTGGATGGCAGGGTTCTGGCGGTGTTGTGGAGCTGTAGGGTAAAACACATCGATTATTCATTCATATAATGTTTTCCGTTCATGCCAACAATTATCGACAAGAACACAACGGCAAGCTAGTTTATCTACAATAGAAAAATTTGGTATACATATTATAATAGGACCTGAAAACAATACGTTCTAAGATTTTGATCGGTGATAATTCAATGTGGTAATTCACATGCCATATATATTAAAAAATATAACTCAGTACTCACAGCAGTGAGTGACAGAGAGCGCATTTTCTCGTCGACGAAAACATTAAATCACGGACGGACAGACAGACGGACAGACAGACAGACAGATAGACAGACGGACAGGCGAGCGCAATAGTGCATTTTTTCATAAATGAGAAAATGCGCTAAAAAGGGACGATTTTCGCACGTGCGCACGCAAGCCGAAGACAAATTAATTTCATTGAATGAAATACTGATTTGATGCCTAATATCTTCTAGTATGATTATTCANGTATAAGAGACTTCTCCAGACTCATGCTACTCTTTATGACGTAAAACTGTATGAGAAGCAACCTTCACCTGGTGCTTGAGATGATCTAACTTCTTCAGACTCATGCTACTCTTTATGACGTAAAACTACATGAGAAGCAACCTTCGCCTGGTGCTTGACATGATCTAACTTCTCCAGACCCATGCTACTCTTTATGACGTAAAACTATATGAGGAGCAACCTTCACCTGGTGCTTGAGATAACCTAACTTCTCCAGACTCGTGCTACTCTTTATGACGTAAAACTATATGAGAAGCAGCCTTCACCTGGTGCTTGAGATGATCTAACTTCTTCTCCATGTCTTCCTCGGAAAGTTCCTCATCAAGAACATCGTCGGCGTCTACGTCGTGGCTATCTTCACGGGGCAGACTCTTGATGGTTATTTTTCTTGCAGGGCTCATCTTTAAAGAGCTGCGTATCTGTGCTACAGATTCACGTTTTTTCTTCAGAATTGATTGTAAGTTCGTATCCAGCGACAAAGGCGGATTCCTGCCACGCCCAACCGATATTTTCCGCTGGATAGAAATTTTCCGAAGAGCTTGGTCGCTCATGAAAGGCACGGCGTTAGTTCTGGAATTTTCATTGTCGTCCTCTTCGTTGGAATCTGAAAGCCCTTTACCTGTGTTGCTAGTTGTTATTTCTTCATTGTCTTTGTGGTGAGATTTTTGGTCTGGGCGCGATTTACTGCGTTTTTTCCTCCTCTCCTTCGAGCGATCGGGTGATGATTCTCGACAAGAATCATCGGAACTTCGTTTGCCCTCTATTTGGTCTTCGTCCAATTCCAGTTGTTGCGTCGCCCATTCCAAGTCCTCCTCACTTGAAAGTTGAACACGTAAGAATTATAATTATCCATGTGATTCTTATAGACGTGATATTGGAACGGATAGAGTATAAGGTTTGCCTAATATAAGGTTTGTAAAAGTCTCAAGCAAAAGCAGTATAACAAACCACATTAAATGAAGAGTAATTTTCAAACATAATTCTGCAATAAATGGAATGAATTCGTAGCTGATATTGTTGTAGGACTTTTGTTTGGATTCTTCAATCAAACAGCCACTCATTTATTTATTTGTAACATTTACATCCAAAAGTTCCGAGACGTTCATATATATTATCGCCTCTCATCTAAGGTGTTTAAATATATAAGCGTATTATGTCTAACACAGTTATATACATTAACAACTCATATATAAGACGCTAAATCGAATATTTATCAAATAAATAGGACTATCGTCTGTACTTACATTTCCCTGAGCTCCTGCTCCTGCTCGACGTATTTAGTTATCATGTCGATCCTGTAATTAATTTTTGGTTATTAGGAAAATATAATTTTGCTTTGACGGGAAAATCATATTGGCAAAAATAAAGCTTGAGATAGGATGCTAAAATACTAATGTAGAAAATGAAAAAATTTAAAGTGAAGGTCGACATAAATTTGAACGATGCTAAAAACCCTCTGGACAAGAATGCAAACGATCTATAATTAATCGTCTTGGAGGCGCTAGCTGAAAACTCAGCATAGATAACCTTCATTTACTCGTGTAATGATGTATACATCGCTTTGCACTGGTGCGAATCATCGTTATTAACTAAAATTAACGTTAACTCACTTATCAGCGATTCTCAGTGGCTCGAGTCACCCTATGTAAAATATTTTCACCTGCCGACCATCTACAACAACGTCAGTTGCCACCCACTTCTCAGCGATGCGGTTCACCCGCTGGTCCAGTGAGGCGTCGTGGGAGAGCTGGATTTTGGCCAGGAACGAAATGAAGGATTCCTTCTCGAAAATCCGCAGCGTCAGAAGTGTTGACGTCATGAAGTCTTCCACTTTAGACAAAATAAAAAAACTAAATCGGTTGGTGGAATTTTCTATGCATTTTAATACTTTTTTTGTCACATAGAAAATTCTTTGCTTGTTAGAGTTGCTGAAATGGATAAGGACGAATCGATTCAAAATAATTCAATATATATGGTTACAAAATATAAAAACTTTTCGACGAGTCGTTAATAGTGTGTTAGGGTTACGAATATAGGATTATTGTAAGCGCGAAGAAAATAAAATTACTTACAATTTTCCTTGTTGCTCCTCAGGTATGACTTCCAGAACCACTTGGTGAACCGGTAGATGTGTTCCAGAACCACAAATGGGGGAACGAGTCCTGGCTTAGAATCGTATTCTCTGATCAGCCGAAATCGCTCGTACTTCCAAATCTCCATGCTGTTCTCGTGCACTTCGTCGAACACGTACCTACGTAGGTTAGTGTATGCTTAACGACATATATTCAGGAGCAAACTTGTTTGCAGCAATCGTATGTTATAAGCAAGCGTCGATCTCGTGCTATTTCTTTCCATATTGTCTTGAGTTTAAAAATCTTTGAATAGTTGTGAGGTAATGAATTAGATAATCAGGATTGGTTGATTCTGCAACCAGGCGTGAAGAGAACTTCGCGGATGGCTGATTACGCATCATTACTTGACGATAACATCGTTTTATAGGCTGATGCCACATCATTACTTGACTATAATATCGCCAAAGGCTAAAGCTACCACATTACTTGAAGAAAACATCGGTTTAGGCTGATGCCACATCATTACTTGACTGCAACATCGGTATAGGCTGATGCCACATCATTACTTGACTATGACATCGGTATAGGCTGATGCCGCATCATTACTTGACTATGACATCGGTATAGGCTGATGCCGCATCATTACGTGAAGATAACATTGGTATAGGCTGTTGCCACATCATTCCTTATAGATAACATCATTATAGTCTCCTCAGGTATGACTTCCAGAACCACTTGGTGAACCGGTAGATGTGTTCCAGAACCACAAACGGGGGAACGAGTCCTGGCTTGGAATCGTATTCCCTGATCAGCCGAAATCTCTCGTACTTCCAAATCTCCATGCTGTTCTCGTGCACTTCGTCGAACACGTACCTACGTAGTTAAATGAATGTTGAAAGACATATTTAATTAAGAAGTAAACTTGTGGGCAGCAATATTACGTCATAATTAAGCATTGACTTTGTGCTATTTCTTCCCATATTTTCATGTGATTAGAGATCTTTGAATATTTAGGATATTATTAATTAGATAATCAGGGTTGGTTGATTCTAATACTTGACAATAACATTGGTATAGGCTGATGCCACATCATTAATTGACTATATAACATCGGTATAGGATGTTGCCACGTCATTACTTGACTATGATATCTATAGGCTGCTGCCACATCATTACGTGAAGATGGCGATGAGGAGGTTGAGCAGCATGATGTTGCCGATGATGAGGTAGAAGACCATCATGATGTGTACAGCCCATGTGTAGTCCTTAGGGTTCTCACACACCTGCTCCTCGCCCTCTCCAGCGAAGTGGCACACGTTTATGTCTTCGCCTGACGGTATATTATACTTTCCACTTGATATATTCAATCGAAAATGAATTTAATATATTTATTATATGAAGTTGGACAGGATATACTATCGTTTTTCTGTCCGCATTGTCAGGTTTACTAGCTGTGGTGTGAAAAATGACTTTTCCAACAGCATTTTTTATGTACATATATATTACTGTACTGTTTCGATCGACTTTCCTCTTTTGTTTTTACTGTAGCACTAAGGAGCACAAAAGTTAATAAAATCTAGGAAAAACTGATAAAAATGGCATGCATTTTATTACTTAATCGAAGAAAGATTTTCTCACACATTAAGTTATTCTGCTTCTTAAAACTTCCAAAACATTTTCAAGAGGTAAAGAATTGGAAAAAACCTACCAAGTTTAAATTAAATTCATTCAGTAGGAAAAGAATTTTCTGAACTTCTGAGTTTGCGAACCTTCCATGTTATCCAGCATGAGCTCTCCGTACATCTGCCAGTAGGGGGTGAGAAGCACATCTTTGATGGTGGACGTGATGGAGTCTGAGTCCAGTCCACGACTGGGGGACGGACGTAGGAGGGACTGAGCTGACAGTCCGTAGCCGAGGATGAACACTATCAGCAACGCCATGAACATCAGCACTTCGGAGAGCTGAAATTTGCGTATTTTTGACATACCGAGCACGACAGAATTTGTTAAATTTTTATATGATTGTTAATGTCCGGAAGCTGGAATTCAGAAATTTTGACATTTTGGGTAACTTCTGAGTATTAAGATTTCCAAGAATTAGGGGTATTGAATTTGTTTGAAAAAATTGTCATTTCAGAAATCATTTTAACTAAATTCAAATATTTTTATCCTACTCCAAATCAAGACCCCCCTCATGCTTCAAATAATAATAAGTTACAATGAAACAATGGTAATCTCAATTTACACATGAAGTATCTGCAGTTAAAATTCAGAATTCGTCATTTTATTGGTTTCAAAAAGTCAATTTATCCAGAAAAAGAACAAACGAGGCGTTTCCAACAAACATTCCAACACTCTCACCATTCTGTAGAATATGACCAGCTTTGGGCCAAGTCGGAAATGCACGTGGTATATTCTGAGTACTCGACAGAAGAAGATTGCCGTGTTGAATGCGTACGCAATCCTGCCGTAACTGAAGGTATTGCGTGTCATCCGCAATCCTAGAGCTACCGACGCGAAGATAAAGGCGATCAAGTCAAATCTGTTCCACACGGACTCGTACCAAGTCATGACTTTACCGTAGAATGAGATGGACTGCTGGTGTGCCAGCTGGAATAAAAAAGTATATGTATCGCACCAGCTGTGGTGAAAAGTAACGTATATGTTACACTTGTAGGATTACACCAGCTGTGGTAAAAAATAACGTATATGTTACACTTGTAGTATTAAACCAGCTGTGGTAAAAAAATAACGTATATGTTGCACTTGTATTATTGCACCAGCTGTGATTAAAAATAACGTATATGTTTCACTTGTATTATTACACCAGCTGTGGTGAAAATTAATGTATATGTTACACTTGTATTATTACACCCGCTGTGGTGAAAAAGAACTTTAAGTTGTACTGTGTAAATTGCAACCTTGCAACTGTGACTAAAAAAAACGGAGTTACACTGAATAGCTAAGGAAGCACAGTGAATTACTCCTGAGTAATTAATATGAGACTCACATAAGTAAATCTTGAGTCACGTATTATTTCGCACGTTTGAATACAATGGTTATCACACTGGACATTTTTGCAAGTTACAGAACAGATTCTCACTATTATTTATTGTTGATCGGAAGCGAATAACTTCGGACAACTTTGCATGGTGTTCATTGCAGTACGCAAAGACAGAAGCTTATACCTATGAGTTAATTTCAACTACGTGAAAATTTTGATAGGAGCTGCTTTGCTAATTTTCGAAATAATTCAACTAATATTAAAATGTTTATGAAGATCCTCAAGTGTTTTTCTCACTTCACTTATTTCTTCAAGCATGAAGGTAAAGATCCAGAAAAGCAAGAACTTTTCAGTCGAGGTCATCAGATAGCGGAAGTCGAACAAGACGACGTAAGCGTACAGCGTCAAGAACAGCACAAATGCCAAGGAGTGAGAGTAGAATTTCGTCATGGGGCTCTTATAGAAGACGATCAGCTTCTGGAATTTGGTCAGTTCCCCGCCGTTGTCCCCCAACTTCTGGAAACTAACGAGATACGTTTTGGAATATGGCTTAAAAAGTAGGTAGAATTTATTTCATCGTGTCAGAAGTATTTATTTCATTGGTTTGATTAAATCACAAATTAACAACGAATGCAAAATCTAAGAAAATTCCCAGAAAATTCATTATAATTTCATAAAAAAAGTTTCGAAGACCAGCACCATCACAAGTTCAAAATTTCTAAAAGGCAAGTATAATCATCAGAAAAACTAAAATTTCCACGATTTACAATAAAAACTAAAATTTCCGATACAAATTTTATTGATGGACCGATCAGTGCTCCGGTACGTTGTCTATGATTAAAATTTGAGAATATCTACTAAAATTGATCGTACCTGACTAAAATTTCAGATACAAATTTTATTGATGGACCGATCAGAGTTGCGGTACATTGTCTTTGATTAAAATTTGAGAATTTCTACTAAAATTGATCGTACCTGACTAAAATTTCAGATACAAATTCTATTGATGGACCGATCAGAGTTGCGGTACATTGTCTTTGATTAAAATTTGAGAATATCTACTAAAATTGATCGTACCTGAAGAACCTGGTCCAGGCCAGGAATGGCATGACGATGGTGATGATGGAGGGTAGGGTGGAGCATCGGATCATGCCTCGCCTCCAGCTCAGGTCGACGCTCGCCTGGCAGCATGACGAGGAGATGAAGTTCATCTCGTTCCCTGATAACGACTTAAATTATTTTTAATTATTCCTATATCAATAAAAAATTATAATTTAGTATTAATTTATTAAAAAATCTTCTATAATACTTTCAAGTACTTGATCAGGTATACGATAAATATAACGATTTATGAAGCCAATTTGGTGAAATCATTATTTCGTTACAACGCTGCGATTAAGAATGAATTCTATTTCCCGGACCAATGATAACTAGGTCGGCCTACTTGATGCAAGACATCAAGAAAACTATTTAGTTGAAAATATAATATCATTGATCAATATATTTCTTGACCTGTGAAAGCGAGGTCAAGAATGTCGAGGTCGCCCCACTTTGCGCAGCGACGCTCGGCAAGTCCCATGGCGTTGACGGGATCATCGGAGTAGCATTCTTCCATCAGCTGGTACACGGCCGAAGATTATATCGATTAAAAATATAATTATAAATATATAATTATTTTATCTTGATAAAATAATTATTTTATGCTGAAAAAATATTTCATGCATATAACTGTTATTATCAGGATATTAGGTGCTTAGTGTTTATAGGAAAGAAAGTTAATAATCCCGCTATACGTTATAGTAAATTAGTAATTAATATTTTTTAGAACCTTGATTCAGTTTTGTTTCTGCATTATGCTGCTAATGCAAAAACTAATGAACTAAGCTATAACTGACGAAAATCAAGTAACAACATTGTTCATAAAAAGATTTCAATAAATAATATTCAATCACTAACAATTGACTACTACTGACTGTCACTCACTTGACAAAATCACCACCTCCAATAGAAATTCCCTGCATCATAAATAATAATAATAGCGGTTTCAGAGTTTAGTAGGCTGTAGGCCTGTCGCCGATTCTCAACATCGCAGAAAATTCACATAATTTTGCGGTCTCGAACTCGTAACTCACTGCTACCATTCTGCTTTGCTTAACCGCCCGGCCTCCTCGCCGATTCTGACTAGAAAATGACGCACAGAGCTGGGATCGAACCCGTGCCTCTCTGCATCAATCCTGGTACTCTGAACTTTAACCACTGGGACACCCTGCCCCAATAAGACTAGTAAGCAAACATGATTTCATATTAATTACATAATACGACTCACCTTTACTGCGAGTTTTTCGAACTCCCCCGAGTGGAAAATGTACCGGTTCCGCACCTCAGTGTTCTTGGCGCCAATAGAGTTCCAGAGCGCGCGGTAGAGGGCGCTGCCAACCACTGCTGCAGTGAGCGGAGAGTTGCAACGTTCCCACAAGTAGCGGGCTAACTGGCCACGCCCACTCAAGATGGCCCACAGAAACAGTTCTTGATACGGGTCCTAGTGGGTGTATTATTATGATTACATTAAATTTAAATTAATTTTTAAATTAATTAATCGAGTCTAGGAATTGTATAGGATTGTTCTGCTAGGCCCAGTGAAATGTCGTTTAAATGATTCAGAGGAGAGTGATGCTTCTGATTGGATATAAATATGGCAAAGTGACTAAGTGAGATAATAAAAGATATTAGTAGGGGATAGCGTTGAAGATTTGTCAATTAATAGGCTTGACGCTGATTCTAGGCATAGCATAATTTCAACGGCTAGCTGTGGGTCTCGCACCCGAAACTTGTTACTCCAATCTTTCCCTATTTTATCCGTCTATATGTCGCTTTCGACCATAATTTTCATTTTTTGGGGTTTTATACCGACAATTTGCAGACATAATCTTGGTGATAAACACTCGGCGACCACCAGCAAGATGCAAGTAAATTAAATGAATATCACAGTTGAGGGCGTTGGACGGGTGGATCAGGATAGCTAGAGGTCAGCATAGCCCAAGTCCACAGTGCTATTCATATACCTTCCCGAGCGTAACGCAGCCGGGCATCTTCACGGCTTTTGACACAAAGCGCAGACCACAACAGCGCCGTTCAGTCACAGGCCGGAGCGCATACAGGCCGGAGCCCAACTGGCCGGAGCGCAGCAGGCCCTACCGCAACAGCTACTCCTAGCGTAACGTAACCTAACCAAACCTGCGCCGCCTGTTGCTGTAGGGCCTGTTGCGCTCCGGCCAGTTGGGCTCCGGCTCTGTGAAGCAGTGGCTGTATTGTGCAAAGCGGATTTACTGTTAGCCGGGGTTACCCACAGCTCATTGATCAGAAGCTATGTTTAGATATTGCATGCTGATGGTTGGCGTTGGGCCCAGGGCCTGTTTACGAGTCAATTTTGTTACCCACGGCTGCGCTCCCCGTTTGACAATGCTGTTAGCGATATAAATAATCCAAAAAGCTGGTTCAAAAACCCTGATTTGAACACAGTTTCTATAAACTATGTTCACTATTATTAATACCTCAAAGGTGTAGTAGTTGATGGCTGAGTTCTCCAAGGCCGCTGTGGGTGTATCGGAAGTGTAAGCAGCGTCGTTGTGCTGCCCCAAGAGGGCAATCAGAAGCTGGTGGACGTGGCAAAGGTGGAAGCTCTTGCTGCGAGTCGTGCGATGCAGTAGCTTCGTCAGGTGGGTGTTGGGATCACACTGAATATCAAAAACAAGTTAGTATGAATTAAGGAACTCACCAGTAATCAGACTTAAAAAAACAGTTATTAAAGTTATTTTTCAACGAAATCGACTCGCAAGCAAAATTGTGTTAACTATATTTGTTTTGCGATTTCTTAACATTTTCACGAGACAAACATCGATGATTGTCAAGATAATCTCGTCATGAGTCGAACTTAGAAATAAACGATACAATGAAGTTCATCATGCGTGCGTCAGAGAGAAGTTGCATGACTCACGCTGGCGTTGTAGAGGTGACGTAGGTTAAATACGGTGAGATACTCGTGCATCACCAGGCCGTTTACAGCAAACAACTTCACAAACGCGATCTTCTCCTCCAGCAGCGCCATTGTCATTAGGTCTTCGAGGGATCCAGTGGGCCAGCTCTCCATTGCTGAACAAATTATGCACCAATTTCGACAGGTAAATATAAATTATTATTCGGAAATATTCTGAAAGTGGCTAAAGGAAAAAACCAGTTAAGTGACAAGGTGACAAAAACAATCAGAGGAGGTCACCGGTGCAGCACTATAAGTGCTGGATGACGGAAAAGATGAAACCCAAAGTGCTGGATGGCGGAAAAGGTAAAACAAAAGGTGCTGGATGGAGGAAAAGGTGAAACAAAAGGTGTTGGATGGCGTAAAAGGTGAAACAAAAGGTGCTGGATGGTGGAAAAGGTGAAACACAAGGTGCTGGATGGTGGAAAAGGTGAAACACAAGATGCTGGATGACGGAAAAGGTGAAATGCAAAGTGCTGGATGGCGGAAAAGGTGAAACAAAAGGCGCTGGATGGCGGAAAAGGTGGGGTTTTAAAGCCAAACCCATGGTTTGAAAACAATAGAATAAGGGTTTTTCGGGGTTTTAAAGCCAAACCCATGTTTTGAAAACCATAGAATAANATTTTAAACTTCGGTCTGTAGGATTAATTACAAACGCTTCTTTAAATGAACTTGCAAACCTCCTTTCAGAATTTACACCGATTTACAATGAACTAATTTACATTCCGAATAAAACAAAATTTGAAAGCCAACTTGCAGATATTTCAAATTTCATAACGGCTAAAAATATTGTCAGTTACTTTGAAACAGGATTGACTTTTTACAATTCGGTTTGGGACAATACAATTCCATTTGAAATTGCATTTTATCCATTACCAAATTCAAAAGGATTTACAGCAGAAGCGTTTTACAATAATGCGGTAAGTGCCATTCAAACAGAGTTTTTCGGGGTTTTAAAGCCAAACCCATGGTTTGAAAACCATAGAATAAGTGTTCCATGGTTTGAAAACCATAGAACAATAGGTTTTCGGGGAATAAGGGTTTATAGGAATAATAGGTTTTATAGAATAAGGGTTTTTCGGGTTTGAAAACCATAAAATAAGGGTTTTTCACCATAAAATAAGGGTTTTTCGGGGTTTTAAAGCCAAACCCATGGTTTGAAAACCATAGAATAAGGGTTTTTCGGGGTTTTAAATCCAAACACATGGTTTGAAAAACATAGAATAAGGGTTTTTCGGGGTTTTAAACCCAAACCCGTGGTTTGAAAACCATAGAATAAGTGTTCCATGGTTTGAAAACCATAGAATAAGGGTTTTTCGGGGAACTGTTCAAGATTATGATCCCAAACCATAGGCTAGTCGACTAGGCTATATCTTTGTACATAATATTTGTAGCACAATAATATGAGGCCCACTTTGCTACCGTAAGAGTTATAAATCACTAATTAATTATCTTATTATATTCAAACATTTTTTCAATCGAGACCGAGCGCAGTATAAATTTATAAATGTATATGATTTTTTATTATTGTATATACTGTATGTAATAAATATGTATTATAAATAAATCATATAATGTTAAAATTATGTTATATTAATGAAATTATTATTATTCCGTAATATTATTTAGATATATAAAATACTTGAAAAATATTTGCGCCGCTGGTGCGCGCGGTACAGAGAATTTCCTCCAATTGGTTTTCCTCCTTTTCAGGAATTCGTGTTGATGAATTCATATTCTTAACGAAGACCTGCAAAGCGAGTGAAATTATTCATCCGGGCTTTGGAATTATTTAGAAATTCGTAATTTTTTATAAATTACAATTTAAAAAAATCATTTCATTTTACAAATGTTATGGTGTCCGTCAAAGTTCACTGCGAACTTAAGGCAGGAATTTTTTTTTTAAAATATAACATCGAAAGGTACAAAGATCGAGTGCGTATTATTTATATACGGAACTATGGGACATCATGCGTATTATTGTTATAAGGATGGTACGAAGTGCTAGATATTATCGCGTCACCAAAGCAAATACGCAATTAAACTGAGGAATCAGGTTTGAAATATTCAATACAAATTAAAGATTAAAGTCGAGCGAGGAAGAAGAAAATTTACACACATTAGAGGGAGATAAACTTGAGCTACGCAACCAACGGAAACGTGTGAAAAAATTACTGGAAAAATGTAAAAAGTGCATAAAATTTTTTACGCAAAGGACCAACGGTTATAAACTCAACTTTTAGAACAAACGAATGTCATGGGAACGAGCATATACACAAGGAAATAAGATGGGATGAAATTGTTTATTATTAATAATAATTCAGAGATCTGGTCTACACTCAAGAGAACGAAATAAAGATAATAATATTGAAGGAATTATTGAGCGTCGTGCTCGGCAACAAACCAGCCGACAAATCTTATGCGAGGGATGCTAAACTCACAAAATTTTATGACAGTTGTTATTAGTTAACAAGATTATAAGAACTCTTCAAAAAACTACACCCAAATTTTTAAATCAAAGGAACAAGGTTTGTGATGATGAGAAAATACTGATGATAATACGGCGATTTCCGTTGGTAGTTCCCCCAGCGTGACAAGAAACGCATTAAGTCAGCCATGACAACGAACGAATTCTCGCGGCCAATCAGCGACGCGCTCTCCAATCCAGCTCATTCATTGGCTGAAAAATCCTGGAAAAATCAATTTCGGGGCGGGAAAAAGCCTGCTTCTGGAGGGAATTATTTTTTTTGCCTGCAAAAAATATTGAGAAAAAAAGTGTGTGTTGCTGGAAAAAATAATAGATAAGATGTTGGTTTTTGGAGGAAGAAGCAAGCTAATGTCCAGACAATATTCCGGCGGGGATGGCGGCGCTCTAATGATGCCATTCAAAAGCCCCGTTGGTGATGATGAACGTCAGGCGCGTTGATTAAATATCAACTCTGACACAAATTAATTCACCTGAATGTGGAAGGCTTCGGTTGAATTTTACGTGAGAAAATACTTCAAGAACGGTGATATAAATGAATTTTAGCTCGTTTTCAGATTTGGATATTCAGGTAGTAACTGAATTGAGTGTCAAAGTTTCCAGAGAAGTTATATATTTCCAGTCATTATTCGTTGACCGACGTTATCATTGGGCAAATAAATTATTAAATTATTAGAGCAAAAAAAAAAAAAAAAAAGAATTAGGCTGAATTATTTATGAGCAGATTTTGATTGTTATTCCGCGATGCAAATATTAATTGTTGAAAAGTTCAGATAAAAATATAACTAATGGGCAATATTTTAAATTGCTCTCTCAGTTGGTAAGGAAAATTTTTTAACGTTATTTTTCACTCACAAGGTTTTTAGAAAATTGGTTAGAAACTTGTACGGTATTTCAGTAAGGCGATGCCATGCGTAAACTTACTCAGCAAGTTAGGAAATATTTGGTGAGTCTCGAATATTTTGCATGTCTGCTATCATCACACTGATGTAATTAGGCATATATTTTGCTTGAAAATGATAATATCACGGAAAAAATGACTAAGACTCATAGTGATTGTTTGCCGCGTCATCATGCAGAGGCATGGCATTAGTATATAATTAATTGTTTGCAAAGAAGATCCTGTTGCGGATAACCCGCACGAACAGGGAAAACATTTATTCAGTAAATATGCTTGGTGGAATGTGAGCTCGTTCTTTGAGGAAGCCCTATCAAGTATATTAAGTATTAAGTAAGCTCATTAATCAATCGCGAGAGGATGGAATCAGGGCATATCTTCTATTCTTGTTCAACATATTTTGTCATGTTTTAATGACATTTAATATTTGTTGACATTCGAAAATGTCGGAGTTCTTGACGAAACAAAACGTAAGAATGGAACAATATTAATGTAATGCCTAGTCGGGAACTCAACAATCGATGTCAATATTTATCTCGCCCTTAATAATAAAAATGTTTAAATTATATGTAAATATTCTTTAATTATCAGGAAGACATATTAGTCAGCTTAAAACAATATCCATGGGACTACTTCCAACAATTAATTGTTTCGTGTTGGCAGACTTGATTGCCTTTTGTGCAGCGCGTTTGTCTTGACGCGTTGTACAATCGAGATGTTAATTGTAGAAAGACCGTAAAGATTGAAGAGGCAATGTGAATGGGTTAAGCATGAATAAGATATCGACTTCACAATAGAAATAACGAAGCTATTCATGCTGGAGAAAGTAGTTGATAGCCAAGGTAGAAAAATATTGAATAAACATGAAGTACGGAAAATTAAATCAGATAATTATCGGTGTCTTAATTTGTTTTATTTGATAATTCATTGCATTTTGCCATTAATTGTAATAATTTATTGTATTATTATTATTTGAAAGTTCATAGTAAAATCCCGTATTTTGAAAGCGTACTTCTGAAACTTATTCTGGAATCGTACTTTCAAATAAGGTATAGGAATAGATTAATATACACTCAACTAAGGATTCAGATTTATATGTCTACATGCATATGCAGCGTTCCGTTTGAAGGATTCGCGGTACGCGGTCTTCATACACGCACAGTATTATTGATTTCAAACCTCTATACGTCTCATTTTAGTCTGACATGTAGTTGCTCTAGATGATAGCTAAAAAATCTACGGTTTCAATTCAACAATAGATTGTCTTGATTGTCGTGTCGTTGACATTGGAAGGAATCGCTGTGGCAATTTCTGTCAGGTAATCCTAGGATTTGGTGAAAAGGAACCAGCAATCCGTCAGCATGTAACAGCCACAAATGTCAACGTGGCTCTGTCACATCTGTCAACACGCACGCAATGTGTGTCTAGATTTCATGCATATATAATTATTCAGGGACTTTAGGGCCAATTTTCTAGAGGAAGATCTCTACTGACTTGAAATACATAGAACCTTATTTTACATTAGAGACCATACTAGTTACCACATCATATTATTAATTTATAAGGGTATTATTTGTTATAATTAGTGCTATCAATTATGTTCTGATTATGATTATAAATTTCTTCCATTTAATTGACAGAAACTAGAGCCATTTCTGCCAGAAAAAGATGATAGGTTGCACAGCTGCCATTATAGATGGCCGACCATAATTCTGCCCTATAATAATAATA